GTTTCTTTAAAATTCATATATATTAAACGTAAAAATCAAAAGTCAATTAATAAAAAGTTATCCGATTTACATAAAACTTTCAGGATATATGTATTTTAATCTCCTGAACAACTTTCACTTAATAAGCATGGTCGATTTACTTAATAAATTTTTTTCGCAATTAGCAAAAACACTTTTATCCAATAATAAGCTACTCACAAAATTTTTGTGTAACTTTTTGGCCAAAAATAGTAGCTTATTTTCAGACATATATGGTATTTATATATATGTACGTGATCTCTCGCCTAACCATGTATCTATAGTATAAATCACGTGATTTCTGGCACTCCCTTTACTATTATTAGAATTACAAAAACTAGTTCTATATTTTTATTAGAAACTTATAAGACATTAACTTAATAAAAGGAGTGACAGATAAGAGGTCATTATAACCTCTCTGGGAATTGTCAATTGACTATGTTCAAGATACCCAGAGTCAGTCATTTAATAATTACAAAAATTAAAGTAATTAATAATATAATTTTATAAATTTTATATATTTATATACCTCTTGTATATTTTTATATACTTCTTGCATAAACTTGCATATTTATGCATGTTTATACATGTTTATACATAAATATGCATATTCATGCAAGGGTGTATAAAAATATACAAAGGGTATATAAATATGCAAAATTTATAAAATTATATTATTAATTACTTTAATTTTTGTAATTGTCAAATAACTGACTATAGATACTTTAAACATGGTCAATTGACAATTTCTAGGGGTTATAATAACCTCTTATCTGTCCTTCCCCTAAAAAATTAACTTTACTTAGTCAAGAATACTAATTTTGATATTTTATATATGTTGCTATAGATTTTATTAATACAAATTCTTGTTTATTCGTAAATTATCAATTAAGTTATTCTAGTAAATATTTAATAAATTTAGATAATTTAACTATTATTATAATCAAAATATCTTGCTAAACAACTTTATTTAATACAAATTTGTATAATTACTTAATAAAATTTAAAAATTAGAACAAAATTTTAAATTCTTGTATAAATTTTATATTAATCACAAATATTTTGCAATACAGTATTTTTAAAACTTGTTAATATAGACAAACTATTTTAAATTATTAAATAAATTGAAATATAGCTATTCTACTACTAGATATTTAGAAATAGATACTATATATTATAAAATTCCAAAAAAAATATTTGTAAATAATACTAAAAAAAGATAAATCCAAAAGAAAAAAACTATTATATTTTATCAAAACAGAAGCTTTTAAAAAAATTAAAATTGATTTATTAGAATCTCTATTAATAATAGCTTACAATAATTAGTATATTTTTGTAGTAACAAACTATTTAATATAATAGCCAAAAGTCTAAGCTATACTAGATACTAGAGCTTTAATTCTTGTAAAATATATTTTTAAAGAAATAATATACGAAAACTTATTTTTCTGATTAAAGATCAAATTTTAGAAGTAAAATAATTAAAGCTTTATAAAATTTTTATTATTTTATTATTTTTAAACTAATAGTATAGTAAAAAAATTAAATAGAACTTTTTATAAATTATTAGCAAAAGTTAAAACTAGTAAAGACTAGAATTTTGCCAGCACCATATTAAGTCTCGTATTAAAAATAGAATCGATCGAATTTTCGTAACACAAAATTTGTTAAATAGTGTTACCGAAACAAACTATGTAGAAAACTCAAGGGATAAGTCTGACACAAAATATAATTGAAAACCCGATGACAGGTTTTCCTTGAACACATTCATATGGCCTAAGTGAAAAGTATTCAACACTACAATACTTTACTGTTAAAGTGGTGTACACCTCTAAATTATCAAATACACTTTTTAACCAATCAGAACTTATACTACACAATTTTTCTAAACATAGTTAGCATGGAACTTTTGGACATAGGACGACATTGTGCAAAGTCCGATTGCAAACAATTAGATTATCTCCCCATTAAATGTCAATATTGTAAAAAAGAGTTTTGCTTCAACCATTCAAAGCCCAGCGAACATAATTGTAGCGATGCACCTAGTGGAGACGGTGAGCGAGTTCCAATCTGTCCCTTGTGTGGAGTGCCTGTTCCGATTGTCAGAGGCGAGGATCCCAATATTAAAGTGAGTCACAGTTAAACTTCTAAACACAATGTAGAACGAATAATCTTATAATACAGTATTCACTTTTTATTAATATCATTTCAGATGAACGGTCATATAGCAAAGGGTTGTAATCCACCACCCACAACTAATTCATCGAAGCCATTCAACTCATGCTCTTTTAGTAGATGCAAAGAAAGGGTTGCAATCCGTGTGATTTGTTCAGGATGTGGCAAAAATTATTGCATAAAACATCGTTTAGAGCCCGATCATATGTGCGATAAAATTAAAAAAGACATTAAAATAAAGCCATCCGATTCAGAATTGGAAACGAACGAACCCAAATCTAAATCTAAATCTAAATCCAAACCCACATCCAAACCCAAATCCACGGTAAAGAAACCTAAAAAATCCATCAAAGCTTGGTTTAAAAAGATATTTAAATAGAAAACAAAAAGAATTTTACTTAGCTTACTAGGACACCGAACAATATATATCGAGGTTATATCGGCTTTAATATGAACTTTTTACAAATTTTATCCAACTTTATTAGATCTAATTAACCTTATTTTGTATTATAAGATGCAATTTTCAAATAATTTTATCCGATTAACAAATTCTTTTATTTTATTATCCAAAGTTTAAATATAACCTATCTTAACCTTATTGATTTTACCCACTTTGTTAACATAACATTAAAACCTTTTATCCACTTTTAAATATAATCTTTTAACCAATAATCGCCTTTTAAATATAACATTTTGGTAAGCAAGTAACCTTTTTAACCAAAATTTCAAAATAACCTCTATATATATCATTCGGGTCCTGGTTTACTAACGACTAGAGATTATACCCGGATAATTTACTACAGTCATATAATAACAAATCCTACTCGGATACAATCCTTATTAATGACTTCGCATTCAAGGAAAAGGCAATAATAAACAAGTAAAAGAAGTATGAAGGGATAATACTTACAATGATACCTGTGGACAATCAGAGTGAAAATCAGTCGTCATTGTTGGAAAAATCTCCTTAAATAAGTCTTAATGTATATAACTTAACATCATCAAGCATATTAATCTAAACATGTATATTTTTTTATCCATATTTTTTTATTTCTGATTGATTATAGTATATATATATTATATTTAATTATATAATTAAATATTACATCTACTTTTATTATATATATAGAAAATAATTTGACGCATAGTGCACCAGCGTGGAAGAATTTCTCACCGAGGTTAATACTTTACCTATATCTAATATGTAAAATATTAATATCCTGTGCTATTGTTAATAAAATAGCTTATATTTAAGTTTGATAATGTTAATTGTCCGGAGAACTCATTTCTATGCGCTTTGATGATTGAAATTACGATTTTGATGCATCTGTAATAAAAATATCAAAAATGTAGTTTCGGCATTTTCTGTCTAGCGCCCCTGAAAATTTTGATCTGCGATATATGTGACCAGATTTTTCAGGGGTTGGAGCCATTAATCGAACGCTATTATGTAAGAAATTTTTTTTATGAATCTGTAGAATTGAAATAATCAAATTTCATGGAATATCTTCATTTAAATTATTTAAAATCATGTTATCACAATTTTTTTTTTAAGTTTATACGAATATATATCGATAACAACCTAATGAAGTTCAATCATTTAATTCTACAGATTTATAAAATCAAATAAAATTTTTATTGAATTCCATTAGATAATTTTCGTTTGAAATCATGTCATGATTTCAAACGTCAAGAGAACTTTAAACATTACTATAAATGGAAGCTTCAAATGTAAAATATGCAGTTGAAATTATCTTTATTTATATTAAATATACAATATTAATAAACTTTTAAATTTATTTATATTAAATATACAATATTAAAAACTTTTAAATTTTTAAATTCATCACCACTACAATGAATAAACAACTATGCAATTCATTAGTTAACTGCACAAAATTTCAGTCAAAAAAATATCTCTTGTTTTACATAAATGATGTGAAATTATTTTTTTAAGCATCTATTTGAAAGGTCCCAAGTTTTCAATCTGTAAAATAGCAAAGCAAGTTCACTATAATGAAAGTTCTGTGTATTATTGGGTAAAAAAGTAGCAAAAAACCAAGGACCTAAGTAACAAACAAAGGTCAGGTTATAAAAGAGTTATCACCCAATGACAAGACAAATAGATTTTGGAACTGGAAAAAAAAAATGAAAATAAATCAGTTCTTATAATATAAAATTTTTGAAAGTAGTCTGGTAACCTGGCTTTTAATTTTATTTTTAAAAAATTTTATATATAAAAAAACATATAAAATTGTTTATAAATTTTTTAGAAAAACTCACCAGGATAATAAATATACTTAAAATTTTTTTTTAAAGTTTTGTAAAATTTGACCTGACCAGATTATAAGAGCCGATTTATTAAATTTGTATGGCCTTATAACCCAGAAATTTGTTGTGAACTGATGAAATGAAATGTTGATATTCATGTATGTACTATTCAATAATACCTTCATAAAGGTGGATCATTATTATGAAAAGCTTTTGAAGCCTTTACTTGAGGAGAAGCATCAAAAAAAATATCTTTTGTAAGCAAAGAAGTATAAGAATTTTGACTGAGATTCTGTGATATTTATTGACAAAAGTATCTTCTGCCTAAATTAATAACTAAAAAAGGCATGCCAATTTTCTGAAAGAAGAAAATTATCTTGTTTTGTCAAGCATCCAACAAAGGTTTATATATGAGACTATTTTTCTTTTTTAGGCTTTAGCAGGTTAGTCTGTTTTATGCATAACTTTAACGTACAATATATAATCACCTATATGAAACAGATCTTCTATCTTCTATTGAGAACCTTTTTAACAAATGTTGCAATAGATAGATCTTGCAGAAGAACAACAATCTAAAGCATTGTTCAAAAATCACAAAGACTTGAAAGGAAGAAAATAACGTTTAGGTTCTTTTCTAGCCATCAATATTATCTGACCAAAATCTGATTGAAAACATCTAAGGGCTTATAAAAATAAATCTAGCAAAAAAAAATTAGAACCTTTAGTCATTTGAAAGGTGAAATAATAAGGGAATGAAATAGCTTACCTAAAGAATATATAAAAAATTTGGTTAGAAATATAAAAGGTCATATAAAAGCCCTAATTGAAGCTAAGAGCAATTATACAATATATTGATTTTTTATTTTTATTTTTTTTTTAATGTTTACCTCTTGGGAGCTGGGTTTTTTATTTAAGTATATATAGCAAGGAGTTCTCTAGGGAACCTTCTTTATTAGAGAGTA